GGGGGGGGGGTGTATCAGTTTGCATCCCTTACGGAAGTTAGGGGGGGAAGCAGCAGGGAAGGAAACGTTGAGGGCCTCCTTGTCGGGGGGACTGCCCCTCCCCGCCTCGCTCCCAGCCGGGCGGAGGGTGGTGACCCTGTGTCGCGTACGGCCCAGCCAATCGATATGCCCTGCCGGTCGGTGCGGGCCGCGTGCCGCCTGGCTGTCTCTCTCGCACCCGCGGGTGCGGCGGGGCGGGGCGGGGCGGGGCGGGGCTGGAGGGAGAGGGACAGAGACAAGAGCCACCCCTCCTCCTCGCGCCCCCTACTTCAAAATAGGGTCGGGGACCAAAACGGAAACTCTTCTCGCACCGGCACGGCCAGCAGGGCACCGCGAGGAGCAGGAGTCGGTGTGGGGGTGGGTGGGGACCGTTAAAAAAGTGGTCATCCTTTGTTATTTTTAACAAAAATCCGCCAACATCAAAATGAGAGTGTGACACAAAGTTGAAAATTTAAAAGCACACCATCGATTTATTATTTTTACCGGGTGCAGAAGTTAAACAATACGTACCAAATGTTTCGGTTAGGGTTTAGAAGAGAGGTTTACAAGAAAGCTTTCAAAGATAAAACATTCTTTAGCAAAAAACATGAAAACTACATAATTGCGCACGTAGTAAATCATTATCAGTTTTGTTACAATTTTATATGTTGCACAAGAAATTGGAACAGCGCAATTCTTAACAGAGAGCTATGCAAGCAGCAACATGTAAACATTATAGAAAATAGTAGTGTGTGCTACCTGTCACCACGGCTCCCTCCCCCCGACACACATACATACACTAAAGCGTGAGACTCGAGAGCGCTTACTTACTAACTGAGAGATGTTATGCACTTTGACGCGTTAAAAACAAAATCATATTTATAGTTGTTGCGTGAACGCGCGCCACCATGACCACGTCAATAAAACGCGCTCTTGTTTCTCTCTCTCTCCCCACAGGAAGGGTGGGTGCGCTCCTCTAATCGGCATCCTATCGACCCGACGGACGCGCGGGCCGCGGGCAGCCGGGCACGCAGCAACGCGGTGCACCTGTGCGGCGGGGGCGGGACCCTCCGCCCCCGGGGGGCGGCCAGGGTAGGGG